TATAATATATATATATATATATATATATATATATATATATATATATATAAATGTTAAATATAATAGAACAGACAGAAATTAAAAACAAAATGGACAACTATAAATAGTAAATGATCTTTCAATTTTCATATTTCTTTTATTTATTTTTTCTTTTAAAAGTGAGATGAACTATGCATCTAAAGTCGGGCGTGTTACATACTTTATCTTACGATTTATACTATATCATATAACCTCTACATTACATGTCTAACCTTAACATTAGCGAAACTCATTGCTTTTGCTGATAGGGATGCAACCTCACTTTCCAAAAACAAGTCTCGCATTACCACATTGCCAAGAAGACAAACGCGACATATTTCCACCGTCGACACAGTGCCCTCTTCGTTTTGTGACGGATCAGAGGTATTTATTTCCACGGCGTCCATGTTTTGTTTAGTGGACTGACTGGCCCGTGCTGCTTCCCGCAGTCCACAGTCTGCAGTCCACAATTTCCTGATTTCTCGCTTCCTCCAGACTACTACTATTTGTTATCTTTGTTCAGCTTTATTTTCAATTATCTTTCAAAATCACTGACTACGAATGAATTGTTTAATGTATCTTCTAATATCTTTAATAATATATTACTGTGATAGTTCATCAAATTCCTTTTTTATATTTTTTATCATATTATATTATATATAATTTATTTTAATTTATTATTACAATATATATTTTATATCATTTTCTGCTATGTATATATATATATATATATATATATAATTTTAAAATTACAAACTATTGTTTTAATCATTTTTTAAATATTTCGATCAATGAAATATTTGTTAGTCTTGATAACCATAGAATCATAAATATATATATTAATTGTGATAAACTTTATTATTTAGTTATTTTATTATTTTAGTTATTATATTCCTAATATTTCTAGTATATAAGTGATTATTATCAATAATAATGGAATATTAATGAATATTAGATTATAGATTAGATGTTCTATTTATATTCGTATTTATTAATAGTAAAATAAAAAAAAATAACCTAGATTACAGTAATAGCTTTAAAGATAAAAATATTATTTTATTACTACATTTTTAATATTAATATTAAACATGAATTTAGATCAATCAAAAATAAAAATAAAATATTAAATAATAAATGAAAACAAATGTTGAACTTTTAATTTGGAGTATTAGTTTTTGGATTTTTTGAAAACTTATAGATTTTGATAGAATTCAAAAATTATAATTTCAATTTTGGAATTCAGTGATTCAAATATTTGCAAATTTTTGCATTTTGGCATTTTTATATGACGCCATGTTAGATTTTAATTCAATCCGATTGGGCGATAAAAACATAAAAAATGTGTTTCAAATTATTTTTTAGTTAAAAAATTCTCTGATATTGTGTTGTTTTTTTTATAAAATTTATTTGGATAATAAAAGTTTTCACATGTTAATAAAAATTATCACATGTTAAATTTAAATTAAATTTAAATCTCTTAAAATTAAAAAGAAATTAAAATTAAAAAGAAATTCAAATTGCATTATATATATTTTTGATCGAATTCAAATAGAATTATGTATTTACATGAGCGATCGATGACCAGAAGTTAAAATCTAATCCAATATAATATTTAATAATATAGATAATATAATATCTAATAATATAACATCAATATAACAAAAGATAACATCATGATAATTAAATATAATTATATATAAATATAAATATAATTATATAATTAAATATAAGGAAAATCTTATTATACGATGTATGTGTTTATTATATAAATAAATATTTACAAAATATATTTTTATATTTAAATAAATATTTATATATTATAATATTAATTGAAAAATCATATGAAATTTTTTAATTGAAAACTTATTTAAATTTGGCGCGTGCTGATACTTTTATTTTTCTATTGGTTTGGATAAAAATGGTATCATGTAATTCGCAACATTCGTATATAAATGTGAAACTGCAAGTAAAACTGCTAATTGTAACGCGTTGAATTTTGATAATTAAGATATTATTTTTAGATATCAAAATTTGTAAAAAAAACATTTAAAAAATGCAAAAATTTTAATATCTTTTCTAAAGTTCAGCTATCTAAATTTAATTTTCTTTTTTCTTTGCTTATCTAAGTGTTGAATCATAAAAAATGATCATAAATTATTTTCTAATACAATTTTTTTAAATTTTCTTATTTTAAAATATCAATTTGATTTATTTATTTTAAACAAAGTTATTATAATTTGATTTTTTTAGTAACTTTGGTATTAAACTAGGGAGAGTACTATAAAATGAATCATCGTAAGATGCGCGCGCATATAGATTCGTCGTTTTCTACGCGTTACAGACTCAAGTCAGATTTTAGATCTTTTGAAAGACATAAATGTTGACTGACGTTTCGAAACAACAACAAAAAGAATCAGTTTGTATCATTTAATTAATATTGCAAAGTGAATATTTTTATATTTTTTTGAATGCACAAAATATTGAATCATTTAAGAAGAATCGCAAATTTCTTTCATATATTTTTGGTGAGTTCTCTATAAATAGAAAAGTCTTCCAGAAAAGGTAGTGATATAATTAAATTGTGATATTAATATGTATATAACTATTATATACGTACCATACGCGCGCGCGCACACACATATACACATATCCAGAACGTTTGATATTTTTTTGGCAAAACTGCAGAAGTGTAATCTAAAAGAAAATAAGAAAAAAATGTTATTAAAATTTGTTTTTAAATGTTTCGTTACAAATAAAATAAGCAAATATTGAATGTGACCTGAATATACATATTTAGCAGATTTGATATTAGAGAATAAAATTGATTGTGTTTACTTTATACTTACATAATATTTCTTAATTTGTAAAAAATCCTTAAAATATTTAAATTATCATTTAAAAAATGATCATCTTCAAGTTTGATATCGATAATGTAGAATATATTATAATTCGAGTTTAATTTTTTTATTGTATCTCAATTGAGTTATTAATTTAAATTAATTTTTGATGTATATTTATTTTTATACTATATACTTTTTATTTTAAAACTCCTTTAAATAAAAATTAAATAATAATCTAGAAAGCCAGGTAATTAGTCAATTTAAGATATGACGATTTGCTAATTTTGTAACAAAGCATTTATAGACAAATTTCATATACAATTTTTTCTTATTTTTGAATATTGTTTAAAGACATTAGGAATTAATTGAAATGAATTTTATAAATATTATAGAGATAGAAAATGGAAATATGAAATCTCAACATTAATAATTTATACATTCGAAAAATATGGATTCTAATTATTACATAGATATGATACAGTGTAACCGTCAATTGTTTCGTAAGATAGTATTTAAAATCATTTAAGCTTAAAACTCACGAAACATCTAGATATTTTATAAAAAATAATTTTTGTATATTTTTGCAAAGTCACTGAAATGCAAATTTATTTAATTATTTTTTTACATTGTTTATATATCATAACATTATCTTATTTTTTATTGAATAGTGAATATAATTAATTTTATATAATTAATTTTAGTGAATATAATTAATTTTATATAATTAATTCTAGTGAATATAATTAAGTTTAGTAAATAATATAACATCTATTATATATCTTCTTCTTATATTCAAAATGAGAATGAGATTTCGTATTATTATAAAATTTATTTTTAACATCTCTATTAAATCTAATTTTATTTTATTGAAATATTAGTACTAATCAAAAGTACATTTTTTATTTTTATTCTAAATAAAATTCTTGCAATTTTATCGATCACAAAATATGTGTATATATATATATATATATAATATATATAAACACACATACACGTGCGCGCGTGCATATGCAAATATTATATATATATATATAATATTTATTTATAATATTTATTATTTATAATATATATATATTTTTTTTTTTACAAATATTTTTTTTAAAATAATAATTGTATTTATGTCATGAAAATATTATTGAAATTTGAAATATTAAATAATTTTATATACATTATATCAAGCATTATTTTCTATTAATATAATAAATAGAAAGAATAGTAAAATATTTAATTGTATATGTAATATCATATTGCAATATTTAGTATTTCGCGAGTTAATTCGAAATTAAGATTGAAATTACTAAGATAAAAGGAATGAAAAATATATATTTAGAAATATGCTTAAAATAAAACCAAAAAAATCCTAAATTAAATAACTTCCAGCAAGAGAGATACTAGTTTTAATTATTATGTTGAATCATAATATTTTCCAGGATTCTATGAAATATTTTGTTAATTTTTTTAAAATGTAATTTATATTTTTTTAGCAAAACTATGGAGAATGAACAACGACATTATGAATTAAGAAGTGGAAGTAGATCTCGTTCTAGAACTCCTTTGATACAAAGCAGCACTTTAATTGAACCAGAGACTATAGAATATCATTATGATTTAAGAAGTCAAAGTCGGGAGAGATCTTATACTCCTGGAGAAATTGCAAATAGTAAAAAATCTGGTTTTAAAATTTCGTATGTTGTATATATAATATTAAAAATATTGATTATTATAGTGAAAGAATATATAAATTTAAATATATTTTAGATATCGTTACATAATTATCATTTTGATTTTGCAATAGATCCAGTAATTGCAGCAAAACAAATGACCAAGAAATTACAATAGAAAAAAAAAAAGAAGTCACAATTGAAACATTAGAACATGAATCTAAACAATTTGAAAATTCTTCTATTAATATAAAGAAAGGAGAATGTCGATCTAAACAACAAAAAGCAAAAGAACAAGTATTTGTAAATGGTCAAACTGACAATAAAGAAGATTTATTTGGATATAAAAAAAAAAAGCCCATAAATCTACTTTTCTTCATAGAACTCTTACTAGTGATTATTCTTCAGAGGAAACAGAACAAGAAGAATCAGATAAATCATATTCTGCACATGAAATTTATAAAAAAGCTGGTGATTGGTGGAAGTATGTATAATAGAATTATTAAAATTTAATTAACTTATTCATTTTTTAAATATAATAAAATTTATATTTTTTTTTATCAATTTTACAATATTTATTTTATTCTATATTAAAATCATTAATGCTATAAGTATATATATATAATACTAATAAATACTGAATATTTTGAAAAATAATAATCTTTTTTTCTTTTATTTCAAGCTTTATATATACTATATATATACTAATTTATATATATAATTTATATATTATATAATATATAATTTTATGTATATTTATAATCATTAGCAACAAAGATTTAATATGATTTTTCTTGACTATATGTAGAATATGTTTCATGTAAAGTGCTTTTTAATTAAATAGTTAAGAATGTTTTTAATATGATTCTATGATATTACGATGATGATTGAATTTCAATCATATTATATTATATTTATGTGAATATTTGATATAATGATTGGATTCAAATCATATTTGATATCTTATACAATGTTTTGTGATTGTAGAAACAGTTTAGATTTTTCTAATATTTATAACTGATTTTTACATGTTCTTTTTCTTTTTATAAATCTCATTATAATTATTTTTTTCTGTTCATATTGATTATAAATATTGGCTAGTTTTTTGGTAAATTTTTTCTTACGTTATTAGTTTTTTTAGTTTATAATCTGTTAAATTCTTTTTTTACTATTATAAATTATATTTTTATTGTTGTAATTTGTGAATATATTATTAATGAAGTTGATATAGGCTTGTATTATTTGTTTTTTTTTGGTGTATTATTTTTTTGTATATTTTATTGTGTATGATGTTTATAGAACTCATAAAATCGATATAAATAATAGAACATTGGAGATTAATTTTATGTAGCAGAAGACTTTAAGAATAATAGGTTGTGGCAAAGAGTGTTGTTTTCTATTGCTGTTGTTGATAATAAGAAATCTTGGCCAGTTCTTAATGCATCAATATAATTTTATTGTAATTTATGTATTTATTTATTCAAATTTATGAATTCAGTTTTGCATTCTATGCTGGTTTTTTTCGTTTTTCAGGTATTTTGCCAGATGAGTGTTTGTTTTTGGGGTTTTTATAGTTCAAGGTATTATATTTCTGTGATTTCTTTCAATGATATATTTGGTATTGATATAATTTTGTTTAAAAAGATTTTGTTATAGAATAGTGCTGGCAGCTTTGGTTATTTAGTTATTTAATATACTTATATATGTATAAGTATATGTATTTATTTGAGAATATTATTGTATGTAGACTTGTCTGTGATGAGGATTTCATTATGATAAATGATTGAAGAGTTTTTCTTTTTTCTTGTTGTTTCTTTAGCTTCATATTTGGACTTATATAGCTTTCTATAGGTAGTAATCTCAATGCCGTATTTTGAATGGATTTAATTATTTTAAATATATTAGGTTTTGTTGAATTATAAATTATTGAACCATAATTTAATCTATTTTTCATCAGTTTTTATTAGGATTTTTAAATTAACTCTCTATTGATATATTAAGATTTTATAATGTTTATTTTTGGAAGGTATTTTTTTTTTTAACTTTAAATGTGGAATTTTGTTAGCTTTTTAGCCAAAGATTAAGTTATCAATGTTTTTTATTTCAATATTTTCATATAGAATTTTAATGGATTTGGTTATTGTTTATATTTTGTTATTTAAAATAATACACTAGATCTTTCAATAGAAACATTTAAATCCTGATTTTTTTTATTATATCAAAAGTTCATTTAGATTTGATTATAAAAGTTCTGTGATTAAATTTTTCTTCTAAAACAAATTATCTATGAACAAGTTTCTTTAGACTGAAAAAATTATATTTTTTTTATTATTATTTTTAATTCTTAATAGAAACAATTAACCAAATTTTGTGATCCAGTAACTTTTTAGAGACTAGATTTAAGAGTTCCATTTATTTTGATTTGCATATATCTATTTATGAAGAAATTTTTTTATAAAATTAAGCATATGTTTATTTACTATATAATAAATATATCAATAATCTTTGCTTTTTCAATCAAAGTATGTATTTATGTATATATTTCTATTTTAACAAGCTATTTAATTTTTATGAAAATATTGTTTCAATATTAATAAGAATGTTTGTGATTAAGTAATATCATTGAAATTCGTATTGAATGTTAAAATATTATTGAATTCTAAAAGTCATTTTAATAGATTCTTAATAATTTTTTCTAAAAATTTATACATGCAATTGATTAAAATAATCAATTTATAATTTTCAGGTTTTCATGTTTATTGTTATTAAATTTTGGTACTGATACAACTTTTGCTTTCTTCTATTTCTCTAGAAAACAATTTATTCTGAAAATTGTTTATATAAAAGTATATTTAGTATGTTATCTGCTCTTGGAAAAGTAAGAATTTTTTATTGTTTGCAGGATAGATATTAGATTTTCTAAGATTATATCTAAGATTATATCTGCTTTTAAAATAGAATCTATTATTTAATACTTAATATTTTCCATCCATTGTTATTTTTAATTTAATGACTTTATATTGTTTATAGAAAAAGATGGATCATGATTTGAATTCTTTGGAAGATTATAAAGATATTTGCTATCTTTTGAATTTGTTATATATTTGTATTTTTTATTGCCTAAATCAAAAAATTGAATTTCTATGTTAAATGGTTTTTCATTTATGCTTTTAATTCTATAACATATATATATATATATATATATATATATATATATATATATATATAGTATTATATAT